TAGGGGGGAGGGGGATGGAGCAGACAGGCAAGGAATGTGTTAGGATGTTTATTTGTAATTATGCACAAAGCTACTCAATAGGCTATCTCTGCTCTGCCCACCACGGGTATCGAAACCCAGTTTCTAGGTGTTAGGATGAAAGTAGTTGTGTTTCATGTCTATCACATTTTTATAAATATTTAGTGACTGCATATTTTTCTTCTAAACTCATTTGGTTATTAATAATTTTATGGTTACACACATCACGATTTTTGATATTCCAGTGACTCATAAACACTGATAGAAGAGCCGTTTTACAATTGTTTCTTGGCATACCAATTAGGATTTAAACCAGATCTTCTAAGCTGGTCTCATTGGGAACTATGACCTAAGCCAGAAAGGTTATAAAACTTTATATCCTTTACTTCAAAACCGAATACTTTAATCTGTCTGTGGAAAACCTTAATTTCCTTTTGCCAATGGTGGCAAGAGGAAATGTGGTAAACAGTCATCTATACGGGATAGGGATAAATTCTGTATAGCGAACACGTAGTTGGCTGTGTAGCAATTGCTTAGCACCTTCAGTCAGGGAAGGAGAAAGGCATTTGCATCCAAACCACGTGCAGGAAGCTCCCAAATGTATAGATCGTGTACCTCTCTGAAAGCCAATCGCTTCTTCCAAAAAACCTGAGAATTGTCTCTCAAGGTGCTACAACACCGGAATTGGGTGGTGGACCAGTTTATGAGGTTCGATAAATCCTTGTTCACACTTAGGGTGAAAGTGTGGCTCCAACATAGATCCTTCGTTGTCACGTTTACTGTTCAGGCCGCTGACGGTGGAATAAGGGTGTAGAAAATGTTCAATTAGTATGGGCTGAGCCCTCGGATACTGCTGGAGGGATGAGTGTCATACCAGGAATACATGAGCAACGTATCGGATCAAGCCCACCCAGAAATGCTTCATTTCTACTGTAAAGGTTATGGTTACTTCCAGGACAACAATGCTTCCGCTCTTCGTGCTTGATGCATGCACAATTGGTTCGAAGAACATCACACAGTAACTTAGCATCCCCCCCCCCCCCCAGTCAGGCCAGTCACCAGAACCCTTGAGAGTCTGTGGGATGTGTTGAAACGTGATACACGAAAACGTAGTCCTCTATCTTCAACGCTCAAGAAACTAGAGGCTAAAATCCTGAGGAAAATAACAAGATGGACGTGTCTGTCCTCCAACATCTCGTGGTATCCATGCCATAGCGCATTCAAGTTGTCATTAGGGCACGTTGTTTTCCAACAAGACAGAAAAGAGAGGCTTTTTTTTTTGCCCAGTGAGCATAAATTAAAACATAAAACTTTCCTCAACCGCCCATCGCCAATGAGGGTAGTTTCACCTATAATGTAACATTTAACTTTCCTCAGATACCATGCACTTACAGGATATTAATCAAACCACAAAACTGAAAGATATCGTCCGAAGAAACCCGGTCGTTTACTTGCACAATAATTAAATATACAATATCCTACCAAAAGTCATGGGACACGGGTAGTTATGAAAAAAACATTCCAATAAATTAATAGCGTGTTGGCCAGCCTTTGGCCTTAATGACTGCCTCAATGCATTGTGGAAGACTGTCTACTAATTTTTGATAGAAAGCTCGTGGTATTGTGCTCCACTCCTCATTTAAAGCATTAGTAAGCTCCACTACTGAAGAGGGCCGTCTTGGCCTTGCCCTAATTCTGCATTACAGTTCACCCCAAAGATGTTCTATCGGGTTGAGGTCGGGGCTCTATGCTGGCCACTGCAATGTCCAGATGTTATTCTCTTTAAACCACACATTCACAATTCTTGCTTTGTGACATGGAGCGTTATCATGTTGGAAGGTGTAAGGGCTGGTATCATAAAATTGCCACAATGTAGGACACAGGATTGCTCAGAACATTAATGTAGGACTCGGCATTCATGGATCTATGCACTGCGACCATTGGACCTAGTCCATATCACGAGAAGCACCCCCACACCATTATACCACCACCTCCAAACTTCACTGTTGGGACAACACACTTGGGTAATAAGCATTCTCCAGTTATCCTCCATACCCAAACACGTCCGTCAGACTGAAAGAGCGTGACTCGTCGCTCCACAGGACCGATTTCCATTGATTCACGGTCCAGGTTCGGTATGCCTTGTCCCATATCAATCCACATTTATTTTTTTTATCAACGGCTTGTGGGCTGCAGCTATCGACGTGTCGTAGAAACACTTATAGGATTGCCTGTGGCTGCTCGCATCTCCAAACACAGATTCTCTAGGGTCTGAGGGCGAGTGGAGGTAACCAGCCTTCTCAAGAACAGGCTACTCGCATCTCCAAACACAGATTCTCTAGGGTCTGACGGTGAGTGGAGGTAACCAGCCTTCTCAAGGTGTGTCGGCTCCTATCAGTCAGTATTTTTAGGGTCTGAGGGCGAGTGGAGGTAACCAGCCTTCTCAAGGTGTGTTGGCTCCTGTCAGTCAGTATTTTACACCTACCTAGTTGTTTCTTGGGCTTATTGTCACCTGTGGACTTCCATTTCTTCAGCACATTGCCGATTGTCAACCTGGGAGTGTTTAATTGTTGCACAATAGAAAGTACGGACATTTCCCCCTTATGACATCCAACTATCTTTCCCCTCTGAAACTCTGTTAACTATTTCCCTGTACTCATCGTCTTGTATACAACTTCGATAGAACCGTTCCGAGCGAACCGTTGATCACCTTTATAGGCCAAACTATTTGCATATTTCGTCGTCACACCCATTTTCCTGCAATCAGAGGTGTGTCCCATTGACTTTTGGTAGGATAGTGTATATAGGTGTAAACAAAACGTTACATCACTGTAGATACTCAAAATCGTGTTACTGAGAATTATTATTTTAAGGTGTGCAAGTGTAGCAATACCATAGAAAATACAGTAAGTATTTCGAGGTTTTCATTCATAATGATAAACACGTGATGACTGCTATAAAACATTTTACGATTTGTTTGTTGTTAACCACAAAGCTACATATATCTGCTGTGCTCACCGCGAATATCGAAACCCGATTTTTAGTGTCATAAGCCCAAAAAACTTACTGTACCTTAATTGGTCTGCACATTTTACACGTTCATAAAACTTTACATATAAAGGTGTTTAATACTGTCATTCACTGAATCATATAATTTCTTTTTTATCATTCCTTAATTTATCTTATGAGTTTGTACTATTTCCATCTTTAATTCTTCTCTCTTTATCTCTTTTAAATGGTTAGTTTTTCGTTCTCTTTCGTTTCTAAAAACACTCCTTCAATTACATTTTTAAAGGTAAAAACCTGTTACTCTTTTAACCACTTTGAAATAAGAGTTGCGTGTAAATTAACTATTAATGTTATTCTGATACCACAAACTAAACAGTGGTTATTTGTTTGAAGTTAAGCACACAAGGCTACACAATGGGCTATCTCTGCTCTGCCCACCACGGGTATCGAAACCCGGTTTTTAGCGTTGTAAGCATGTAGACATACCGCTGTGCCACTGGGAGATCAAACAGTGGTTAAGATATAAACGTTTCATTGAGCCATGACAATGCTTCAATGAAAATAACTTCATGGATATGTGAAATAACTCGACGTAGTATCACGTTGACTGTGGATTGAATGAGTGTCTACCCTGTAATGGACTTACATGGTACCCAGTGACTCTTATGGTCTTAGATGGTGCTCAGTACACGTAACGGTCTTAAATTGTTGGTGCTCTGTATATGTACTGGACTGAGGTGGTGATCAGCGCCTGTATTAGTCTGTGATGCTGCTCTGTAGCAATGATAGTCTGTGGTGATACTCTCTACTAAACAATATCTTAAGGAATAAAAGTGTAGACGTGAAAGCTTCTAAAAGGTCTTTGTAGTCCGTTAAATTTTAAAATCCATAATCCGTATCAATCATATTGTTGATTGTCCACGGACACGAATGGTTTTGTGTTCAGTATGCGCAATGAGAAACTTCAATTTTGAACAATGAGACCCATTTTGCCAACTCTATCCACAAAATCCTATTGATATTTATAAGATAAAAATTAAAATCGAGGGAAATGCCTTAACAAAAACAGCAAAAGCTTCAAATTTGTCTTCATCGCATTTTGTTTTTGTTTCTTGTATTAATTATTCAGTCAATAAGTTGTCGAATGGTAAAACATGTTCATTTCTGGATCGTATCCAAGTTTCATTTCATTTTCTTTTCTTTTATAATTCTAACAATCTAACAATAATGCACATCTAGGAATTTGTTGTTTTCGGAGATATACACTTTGAAGATGCTGCCCTCTGCAACAGCAACGTGATAGAATCTCATCAATTTCACTTATTCAACACACAAAAAAAAGCATTGGCCAGCTGCTGGTTGTGAACAAGAGTTGATACTTAAGAAATTTTCATCTCTACTTAGGCATGGCGTCATCGAAAAGAATTCAAACCTGAGAATATCTTTGTAACCAGTACTGAGTACCATCTTAGACCAGTAAAGGTATTGAGAACCATCTAAGGACAGTACAGGCACTGAGCACCATCTGAGATCATTACAGGTAGTGAGAACCACATGAGACCAGTAAAGGTAGTGAGAACCATCTGAGACCAGTAAAGGTATTTTGAACCATTTGAGGTCAGTACAGGTATTAAGCACCATCTTAAACCAGCAAAGGTATTGAGAACCATCTGAGACCAGTAAAGGTAGTGAGAACCATCTGAGACCAGTAAAGGTATTGAGAACCATCTAAGGACAGTACAGGCACTGAGCACCATCTGAGATCATTACAGGTAGTGAGAACCACATGAGACTAGTAAAGGTCTTAAGAACCATCTGAGACCAGTAAAGGTACTGAGTACCATCTGAGACCATTACAGGTACTAAGCACCATCTTAAACCAGTAAAGGTATTTTGAACCATTTGAGGTCAGTACAGGTATTAAGCACCATCTTAAACCAACAAAGGTATTGAGAACCATCTGAGACCAGCAAAGGTAGTGAGAACCATCTGAGACCATTACAGGTACTAAGCACCATCTTAAACCAGTAAAGGTATTGAACCATTTGAGGTCAGTACAGGTATTAAGCACCATCTTAAACCAGTAAAGGTATTGAGAACCATCTGAGGCCAGAACAGGTATTGAGAACCATCTGAGGCCAGATCAGGCATGGAGAACCATCTGAGACCATTACAGGTACTAAGCACCATCTTAAACCAGTAAAGGTATTTAGAACCATCTGAGGTCAGTACAGGTATGGAGAACCATCTGAGACCATTACAGGTACTAAGCACCATCTTAAACCAGTAAAGGTATTTAGAACCATCTGAG